ATAAATAAAAAATAAAAAATGAAGTCCACAAAATAATTTAAAATAATTAATTACTATTTATTATTTGATTTATGAAATTAGTAAAATATTTAAATACTAATTATACATTAAAGAAATAATAATTAAAGTAATTAAAAAGGACTAAGGTATTACTTAATTACAAAAAAGAAAACCATTTTGTGCAGTATAGCCGAGCGGCTATACTTTCTAACTATTCGAATATAATTATCGAGTATAGCCGAGCGGCTATACTGTTCAAATATTCGTATATTATTAATTTAAATATTAATATATTATAACAGTAAAGCCGCGCGGCTATACATTTAAAATATTCGAACATATACCGTATACTATTTAAATATTATTGGAGTATACTTTCTTTCAACAAAAAAAAAAAAAAAAACTTAATATAAGCTATACTTTTAAAATATTCAACTCCACAAAAGCCAGCAATCCATCATTACAATTTTTTTCCGATAAAGCAAATGGAAAAAAAAAGGAGGAATTGTAACTCCTATAATAATAATAGGACAATGGTCGATAATGAAGAAGATGAACCAAATTAATATTTGGATCAATAAGCAAAAGAAAGAGATCACATAACCAATAGTTCTTCTCTAGAGCATCTCCAGCAAACTCCCTATCCTCTCATTCCTAGCTACTTTGGCTAAAAATAAGGAAAATTCTCCTTCCAACAGTCCCTACCTGGCTCTCTATTTTGGAGAATCAACTTTTGGCTCTCTACATCTAGCAAGGAGGAGAGAGAAATGGAGGCTCGCCAAATTGAAAAAAAAGAGAAAGAGAGAGAAAAAGGGGGAGAGAGATAGAGACATTTGGGAGGTTGGTGGAGTTGGGTTTATACTTTTCTTTTTAATATATTTGATTTGCAAGAGAAAGAGAAAATAATAATAAAAAAATATTTTAGATTAGCCAAAATAGAGAACATTGCTGGAGGAAACACCTTTTAAGTGGTTTGCTATAATAGCTTTCTATCTATTTTAGCTAGAATTGGCTCACTCCGCATTGTATTTCACCAATCCAAACCGTTTATGTTTTAGATAATCATTCAAAGATCATCTCTACAAAAAATACTTGAATCCGATATCGTTTGACCACTCAATTGTGTTATTGAAATTTTAGTACTTTCTTGAAACACCATGTTCATTGATTTTGTATGATACAATTGGATGTCGAAGCGGTTCCCAATTTGTCTAATTTTTTGCAAGGATGATCTTTGAATGTAAACTTAAAAAATAGATAGTTTGGATCCTTGGAAAAAAAAATTCGTAGGATACCCTAAAGGATGTCCCTCAAATAAAATTATTTGAAGGATCCCTTAATAAAAGGGGACTATATGTTTATCATAATAAAAGTATTATGTTCATCATGACCAATGACCACGAGATTATCAGCCACCAAAGCTGTTCTAGACTGCAAATATTGGTTTAAGCTCTTTGCCTCACACTTGCACATTGTTATTTTCACATGAATTTGGCCTCTGGTTTTAGCTTTGTCCTATTATTGGTGTAAGGTCAGCCCAAGTTTGTAATTTCAACTTTCTTGCGTACAAAAATAAAATAAAATAAAATATATTTACCACTCGGTTATATTCATGGTTAAGTCTTCCTCCTTATTTTACAAGCCTTCCGTAGACCCACTGTCCTTTCAAAAGCAGGCAAAATTTTCCACACAAGTCAAAGCGAATTGGTCATAATTAACTACAGAACATACGCACGAGAGCTGCACATACAAACGACCCAAGTCAATTAAACCCCTGCTCTGGGCTAAATACTACGCAGAATTTTCGTACTAATTTCCCATTTCACAATTACTGAACCTCATTTTACTCAAATCTGAAAGTTCCCTTCATCGTGGTTATCACTTATTCAATTATTTAAAAACAAATAATTGAAGAGCATTAGTTTTATGAGAAATATGAAAATACTTGTAACAGAAAAGACAATTGCACAAAACACATACACAATTCTTCATTAATTTGTTTTTCTTTATCAAAGATAGGTATGAACGGTAGACTTGCATGTTGCGGAAAAGATTTCGCATTCGACTTTAACCTTATAATCTCATTCAACTTTAGACTTCGAATAGCAATTCTGATTGTATAAAATGACAACAAATATTAATCTGGTTCCCCAAAGTTGAAGGATGTCGCAAACATTCAAGCCATTCCGCCTTCCATTGCTTGGTGGCTTTGCTCTTATGCTCCTCCTAGTTCATGCCCAGGATGATCAATCAGGTATGTTCAAAACACATTTTTGGTAACATATGTATATAGCATCATCTTATATAAAATCCATGTCTTCTGTCTCAGGATTCATTAGCATAGACTGCGGCCTTGCCGGAAATTCCAGCTATGCTGAAAAGGCAACGGGCATTAAATACATTGCAGACGAAACCTTCATAGACACCGGTGAAAGAAAATCCGTGTTGCCGGAATACAGCAATAGGTATCAACAGCCCTACACGTCTCTTAGGAGCTTCCCTGAAGGAAACAGAAACTGCTACGAGATCAATGTTACTGATGGCTACAAGTATTTAATCAGATCAAGTTTCGTGTATGGGAATTATGATGGCCAAAATAAAGTTCCTGAATTCGATCTGCATCTTGGAGCTAACTTATGGAGGTCGGTGAAGTTGGAGAGTGCATCTACTATCACACACAAGGAGCTCATACACGTCCCTGGCCGAAACTACATACATGTTTGTCTGGTAAACACAGGCTCCGGGGTCCCATTTATATCAGCTCTAGAAATAAGGCCTTTATCGAATGGATCTTATAGAACAGAAGGGGAATCCTTGGCACTTGACATGCGATTTGACACGGGTCAAAACGCTAATTTAACTTCATATAGGTGAGTACATAGTACACGGGCTCGAGAGTATTTCTCTTCCCAATGTCGGAAGAATAATTAATTACTATTTATTATTTGATTTATGAAATTAGTAAAATATTTAAATACTAATTATACATTAAAGAAATAATTATTAAAGTAATTAAAAAAGACTAAGGTATTACTTAATTACAAAAAAGAAAACCATTTTGTACAGTATAGCCGCGCGGCTATACTCTCTAGCTATTCGAATATAATTATCGGCTATACATTTAAAATATTCGAAAATATAGCATATACTATTTAAATATTAATATATTACAAAAGTATAGACGCACTGCTGTACTTCTAAAATATTGGAGTATACTTAATATAAGCTATACTTTTAAAATATTCAACTCCACAAAAGCCAGCAATCCATCATTACTGCAGATTCAAAAGTTGTCCATTACAATTTTTTTCCGATAAAGCAAATGGAAAAAAAAAGGAGGAATTGTAACTCCTATAATAATAATAGGACAATGGTCGATAATGAAGAAGATGAACCAAATTAATATTTGGATCAATAAGCAAAAGAAAGAGATCACATAACCAATAGTTCTTCTCCAGGGCATCTCTAGAAAACTCTCTGTCCTCTCATCCCTAGCTACTTTGGCTAAAAATAAGGAAAATCCTCCTTCCAACAGTCCCTACTTGGCTCTCTATTTTAGAGAATCAACTTTTGGCTCTCTACATCTAGCAAGGAGGAGAGAGAAATGGAGGCTCGCTAAATTGAAGAAAAAGAGAAAGAGAGAGAAAAAGGGGGAGACAGATAGAGACATTTGGGAGGTTGGTGGGGTTGGGTTTCTACTTTTCTTTTTAATATATTTGATTTGCAAGAGAAAGAGAAAATAATAATAAAAAAATATTTTAGATTAGCCAAAATAGAGAACATTGCTGGAGGAAACACCTTTTAAGTGGTTTGCTATAATAGCTTTCTATCTATTTTAGCTAGAATTGGCTCACTCCGCATTGTATTTCACCAATCCAAACCGTTTATGTTTTAGATAATCATTCAAAGATCATCTCTACAAAAAATACTTGAATCCGATATCGTTTGACCACTCAATTGTGTTATTGAAATTTTAGTACTTTCTTGAAACACCATGTTCATTGATTTTGTATGATACAATTGGATGTCGAAGCGGTTCCCAATTTGTCTAATTTTTTGCAAGGATGATCTTTGAATGTAAACTTAAAAAATAGATAGTTTGGATCCTTGGAAAAAAAAATTCGTAGGATACCCTAAAGGATGTCCCTCAAATAAAATTATTTGAAGGATCCCTTAATAAAAGGGGACTATATGTTTATCATAATAAAAGTATTATGTTCATCATGACCAATGACCACGAGATTATCAGCCACCAAAGCTGTTCTAGACTGCAAATATTGGTTTAAGCTCTTTGCCTCACACTTGCACATTGTTATTTTCACATGAATTTGGCCTCTGGTTTTAGCTTTGTCCTATTATTGGTGTAAGGTCAGCCCAAGTTTGTAATTTCAACTTTCTTGCGTACAAAAATAAAATAAAATAAAATATATTTACCACTCGGTTATATTCATGGTTAAGTCTTCCTCCTTATTTTACAAGCCTTCCGTAGACCCACTGTCCTTTCAAAAGCAGGCAAAATTTTCCACACAAGTCAAAGCGAATTGGTCATAATTAACTACAGAACATACGCACGAGAGCTGCACATACAAACGACCCAAGTCAATTAAACCCCTGCTCTGGGCTAAATACTACGCAGAATTTTCGTACTAATTTCCCATTTCACAATTACTGAACCTCATTTTACTCAAATCTGAAAGTTCCCTTCATCGTGGTTATCACTTATTCAATTATTTAAAAACAAATAATTGAAGAGCATTAGTTTTATGAGAAATATGAAAATACTTGTAACAGAAAAGACAATTGCACAAAACACATACACAATTCTTCATTAATTTGTTTTTCTTTATCAAAGATAGGTATGAACGGTAGACTTGCATGTTGCGGAAAAGATTTCGCATTCGACTTTAACCTTATAATCTCATTCAACTTTAGACTTCGAATAGCAATTCTGATTGTATAAAATGACAACAAATATTAATCTGGTTCCCCAAAGTTGAAGGATGTCGCAAACATTCAAGCCATTCCGCCTTCCATTGCTTGGTGGCTTTGCTCTTATGCTCCTCCTAGTTCATGCCCAGGATGATCAATCAGGTATGTTCAAAACACATTTTTGGTAACATATGTATATAGCATCATCTTATATAAAATCCATGTCTTCTGTCTCAGGATTCATTAGCATAGACTGCGGCCTTGCCGGAAATTCCAGCTATGCTGAAAAGGCAACGGGCATTAAATACATTGCAGACGAAACCTTCATAGACACCGGTGAAAGAAAATCCGTGTTGCCGGAATACAGCAATAGGTATCAACAGCCCTACACGTCTCTTAGGAGCTTCCCTGAAGGAAACAGAAACTGCTACGAGATCAATGTTACTGATGGCTACAAGTATTTAATCAGATCAAGTTTCGTGTATGGGAATTATGATGGCCAAAATAAAGTTCCTGAATTCGATCTGCATCTTGGAGCTAACTTATGGAGGTCGGTGAAGTTGGAGAGTGCATCTACTATCACACACAAGGAGCTCATACACGTCCCTGGCCGAAACTACATACATGTTTGTCTGGTAAACACAGGCTCCGGGGTCCCATTTATATCAGCTCTAGAAATAAGGCCTTTATCGAATGGATCTTATAGAACAGAAGGGGAATCCTTGGCACTTGACATGCGATTTGACACGGGTCAAAACGCTAATTTAACTTCATATAGGTGAGTACATAGTACACGGGCTCGAGAGTATTTCTCTTCCCAATGTCGGAAGACGTCCTAATTTCAAATCCCCTGCCAACAATACTAATGAACTCAATGTGTCTTATTCTCTATGCAGGTATCCACATGATGCTTTTGATCGCATCTGGAATGGCTACTATGACAATGATTGGACACAATTAATTACCACATCCACCATAGACAATAGCAAACCTTTCCAACCACCAGAAATTGTCCTGCGCACAGCTGCCACACCGAAAAATAAAAACGGTTCCTTGGAAATTCGGTGGCTGCCTTCTGATAATGTTACGGAATATTATGTTTACATGCACTTTTCAGAAGTTGAGAAACTCCCAGGAAACCATTCTAGACAGATGTACATCAATAGGGAGGGAGAATTCTTTTACAAACTTCCTGTTCTTGAGTACTTGTCCATCTGGACAGTTTACAGCATTAAAGCTCAAAGTAATGGAGGACAATATAATTTCTCGATCTTTAAGATTGAGAACTCTACCCTTCCACCAATCCTCAATGCTATCGAGTTTTACATGGTAAAAGAATTCTTAGAATCAGAAACAAACCAAGCAGATGGTAAGTAATTCTTCCCTACACGAGCGAATTGTTTTGCTATCAATTTAGTGCACATGTGTATGATTGATTTTGATGAGGATTTTCTGTTTGATTCCGAAAATATTTAAATTAGTTGACGCAATCAAAGACATCAAGTCAACTTATAAGATTAAAAAGAACTGGCAAGGAGATCCATGTGTCCCCCAAGCTTACTTGTGGGAAGGTCTAAACTGTAGCTATCCTGAAAATGAGTCCCCAAGAATCATATCCTTGTATGTATATCTTCAGTTTATATTTTTCATTTAAATTCCATGTTTCGATGAATTAAGTTACGGTATGTGCAACCCGCAGGGACTTGTCCTCAAGCGGACTAACAGGGGAGATAGCTACTTCTATATCTACTCTCGAAATGATACATACATTGTAAGTGCATATATATACCTTCCTGTGTACTTGTGAAATGAGTTTACAAATACTAATGGGAAGGTACACAGAATATGATCAGAATTTTATGCGGCACAATCAGTTTATTTTAACTGAGTAGAGCTGATTTCAGGGATTTATCAAACAACAACTTGATAGGACCAATTCCGAACTTCATGTCTCAATTGCCAAACTTAAATGTCCTGTAAGTTTTTGTTACTTTTATATGGGGCAAAACTGCAAATCCTTGGTTACAAACTAAAGCAGGGTGATGGATATAGTGTTTAATTTACAATTGCAGAAACCTGGAGAAAAACAAGCTCACAGGCTCAGTTCCAATTAGACTAATTGACAGAAACAAGAGTGGTTTGCTATCTTTAAGGTGTGTGTGTTTTGTTTTTGTTTGTTTGTGCTTCAAATTTCCCCCAGTTTTGTAACCAAATTCTGTTTTCATGAGAATTATAACATCAGCGTCTAATATTACAGAGGAGCTTATATTATTGGTACCTATTAGATTGATCAAAATTTAACTAATCAACCATCTTTATGTCAGTTTATGCGAAAATCCAAATCTATCTGGAGCTGTTTCTTGCAAAAGGAAGAAGAACAATTTTGTTATTCCATTACTAGGGTCAATCGTTGGAATTTCAGTCCTCTTATTATGTGCAGCAGCTGCTTGGTGGGGTTTCAAAAGGAAAAGACATGGTAGACTTCCATAAATTTATGGCTATATAGTTTTATACATAGGATGAAAGTTTACATCCTAAAATGCTAATGTATAACCTTCTTCATTATGGCTCTATATGGTATTAGGAGTTGTTGCAGAAGCAAAAGACACCATTGGGACATCAGTGGAGTCAACAAAACGACAGTTTACATACTCTGAGATCATTAAGATCACAAACAACTTCAAGCGGATTCTTGGAAAAGGTGGATTTGGAAATGTTTATCATGGCTACATCGACGATACTCAACTAGCTATCAAGATGCTTTCACCATCCTCAGTTCAAGGATTTCGACAATTTCTTGCGGAGGCATGTTTGTCTAAATAAACTAATACAATATTATTGGGTTTGAGCTCAAATCATTTGTTAGAAACTAAGATATTCTTGTCTGTTCGATTACAGGTTGATCTTCTTTTGAGAGTTCATCACAAAAATTTGACAAGCCTGGTTGGATATTGCAATGATAAGACTGGGATAGGGCTCGTCTACGAGTACATGTCCAGTGGAAACTTGCATGCACATCTTTTTTCAGGTTTGCCTGCACTTGAATTACATGCTCAGTAGCAAAATTTCACTATTTCTCATAGTACTTCTAAACTTTAGGCTCTTTATTTGTTATGGATGCAGGTAGCAGCTCAAATATCTTGACTTGGAAAGACAGACTTCAAATAGCAATAGACGCTGCACAAGGTCTGAAACTAAAAGATTTGTAACAATATTTTTATTAGCTAGCATCTCCTATTAATTTCTTTTCTTTTAATTCAATTTTTGGGATGTGGTGTCTCAACTTGAAATGCAGGATTGGAGTATCTGCACTATGGCTGTAAGCCACCAATAATCCACAGGGATGTAAAATTAACAAATATTTTGCTGAATGAAAATTTCCAAGCCAAGCTATCTGATTTTGGACTATCCAGAACTTTCCCCTCTAATGATGACACTCATGTATCGACCGTCGTGGCTGGCACTCCCGGCTACCTTGATCCTGAGTAAGTCTTTTTTTTTTTTTTTTTGGATTTTAGTTTATCCATCCCTTAATTGGAGCATTCAAATCAAATATTAGAAACTAAAAAATGTGATGTTTGATTTGCAAATGGTTGTAACTTGTACATGAAGGTACAACCTATCAAACAGGTTGAACGAGAAAAGTGATGTTTATAGCTTCGGGGTTGTGCTGCTGGAGATTATCTCCTGTCGACCTGTTTACTCATCAAGGGAACATGAAAGAATTCACATCAGTCGGTGGGTGAGCTCCATGCTTGCAGAAGGAGACATTTACGGCATCGTTGATCCGAGGTTGGAGAGACACTTCAACACGATCGCTGTATGGAAGGCTGTGGAGATAGCAACGGCATGTGTATCTCCAAATGCTATAAAAAGGCCAACCATGTAACATCCCGACCCAAAATATTATTAAGATTGGATTTAATTTAATTAAAATTTGGAATTTCCAATTTTGCCTTTGAAGTGGGGGCAAAAAGGTCAATTCTTATCCGGAGAGAGTTTGGGGCAGCAAGTGGTGTTTTTAGGAAGATGGTACTGAGCCGAGTCCGTAGACACGCGGTAGGCTCAATTCGGACTTGTAACGAAAAAGTTACGAGGTAAAAACCCTTAGTGGCAAAACTGTAAATAAGTGGAACTTGAATTTTATTAAACTCAGATTTTCTTTTCTTTTCTCTCATTTCTCTTCTCTCCCGTGCGTCTCTCTCTCTCCCGTCAACTCCCTCCACCCTCTGCAAAACTCGCAGCCGCCACCTCCGGCAACCACCAGCCCCGGCTCCGGCCAAGAACGACGCACCACCACCCCAGCATCCTCCCCCGACCTTGTGCAGCCCGGAAACAGCCGCTGCAGCCACCGGAAAAAACGCAGAAAAATTCCTCCGGTTTTGGCAGATTTTGCAACCCTTCGTTCTCCTTCGTTTCTCAACCAAATTGGACGAGTGAGGTATGAAAATTCATCTATTTTTCGTGCTCTAGCTGCCTGTTGGTTAGGTTTCCAGAAATTTTGAGAGTTTACAAGTTAAATTTCGAAGTTTAGCTACAGCCGGTTTTCAGTCGAA